ATATATATATATATATATATATATATATACATTAGGGTGGAGCTATTTTAAAAATTTTCGAAATTTGATTAGCCTGAGCTGCGAATCGATGTCTTTTGGTGAAAAAAGAGCCTTACTTTTTTTTTTTTTAATATAAATGAGTTTTAGAGGTTCCTCTTTGGATTCTAAATTTATGACGGATCCTAATATTGTTAAAAAATTTTTTCTTCTAAACTATATTAACCTGATACTCAAAAGAAGCAGAATAATACGCTTATTTTGAATATAATATTTGTTTTAATTTTATTTTAATTTAAAACTAAAGAGAAAAAAATAATGTCGTTTTTTTTATTAAAAAACCCCCGTCTTCATCAAAACGGGGGTTTTAAGGTATATTTTTGCAAATATTTTTTTCACTAAAAATTTTTTCTTAATAAAATTATTATTGATAAAACAAGCATTTTTTTCTGCTTTTTCTGATAAAACAAGCATTTTTTCTGCTTTCCAAGGTTGATATAGTTTAGAAAAAAAAAAAAATTCAAAAATATTAGGATCCGTCAAGGATTTAGAATCCAAAGAGGAACCTCAAGACCTTATCAAAACCAAAAAATATTTTTTTACTTTCATCTTATAATTAATAGACATCGATTCGTGTCTCAGGAATATTGATTTTTAAACTTTTTTTTTTTGCTATGAAAATCGCTTCACCCTAATATACATATGTATATATACATATATATATATATATATATATATATATATATATATATATATATATATATATATATATATATATATATATATATATATATATATATATATATATATATATATATATATATATATATATATATATATGCAGGCGCGGATCCAGCATTTTTTGATGTTTGAGATAACTAACTTCCAGACATGGAACAAACTCCAAAAATCTATATGTTTATACTTATGTCAAATAAAGATGATTTGCAAAAAATTGCGACGATTGGAGTCTGGGAACAAAAAAGCCCCAAAATTTTGGCCACACAAACCCCAAACAAGAGAGCAACAAGTTGATAAAATATTTTTTGTACAATTCTTAAGTAGATTTATATTAATCGATAAATTCTAAATTTCATACAATAATCTCTTAGTGTTCAAAAAACATGACCTTACAAAATTTGTAACCCCCTCAAATTGAGGGGGGTTAAAGCTTTGTGCAATTATAATTTTTGAACACTAAGAGATTATTGTATGAAATTTAGAATTTATCGATGAATATAAATTTACTTGAGAATTGTACAAAAAATATTTTATCAACTTGTTGCTCTCTTGTTTGGGGTTTGTGTGGCCAAAATTTTAAGGCTTTTTTGTTCCCAGACTCCAATCATCGCAATTTTTTGCAAATGATCTTTATTTGACATAAGTATAAACATATAGATTTTTGGGGTTTGTACCATGTCTGGAAGTTAGTTATCTCAAACATCAAAAAATGCTGGATCCGCGCCTGATATGTATATATATATTTAAATTGATATATATATATATATATATATATATATATATATATATATATATATATATATATATATATATATATATATATATATATATATATATATATATATATATCAATTTAAATCTATAAAATGTTCGGAATCTTTTTAAATTCAAAATATCTTTTGTATATTTAAATATATATGAAGTTTATTGGATATGTATACGCATATGTACCGATTTGTAAATTATTTTTTCAAACTTTTTATTTTTCTATTATTTTCAAACTTTTTAGTTTTTGTCAAACTTAAAAATTATTTTTAAAACTTTTTATTTTTTTCAAACTTTTTAATTTGTTTTTTAAAACTCTTTTTTAATTTCACTCTTTTATATATTATTGGAAGTTGTAAAATTTTATTTTTTTTTTATTTTCATGAAGGGGCTTGATGATAAAACATTTTGTCTTCTACTTGCCCCAGTCAGCTTGCAATTGTATAAATTTATTTGAATGTAAGGTTAACATTGTAAAATGTGTCAAATGACGAAAAAATAAATAAATAAAAACTTGATTTATTTATTAAACTTTTTCTTTTATTAAAAATTATTTTGTGTGTTCAAAACGAAAAAATTATTTTGTGTGTTCAAAACAAAAACCTAAAAATTGTTTTATAACTCTTTCTCTGAGCAGAGGGATTGAGATCCAACTAGCTATATATATATATATAATAAAACCAAATTCCCATAGCGCTCCAAAGAGGTTTTTATACGAAAGTTATAAATTGATGTTTCTGTAGCATCTGCAGTGATATGTTTCGATGAAGTGATAGTGGTTTTATAAGTGTTTATCATAACTTTGATTTGCAACCTGGTCAATTTTGCATAAATGGCTTACATAAATATATGGAACGCATAAAAAATACTAAAAATGTCCAGTGATATTGCTAAATAACAAAGAGAAAATCTCAGAGCAATAAAAAAAGGGTTTAGATGATAAAAAGATTGCTGCAAAAGGTGAAATATGTGCTCCTGAAATTTTTAGATTTTATGGCAATTGTTTAAATATATATTTATTTATTAATCTCCCGCTGTATATAATACAAGGTAAATTATTATAAAGTTACATTTTTGACAAGAAAACATTGAAGAGTAACTTAAGTGCATTCCTCCCTATTATATCAAGCTTTTGCATTAGTACGTCTTTATAGCAGCAAAGTTCAAGACCATACGTAAGTTTCAGAACCGCCAAAGTTTTATATAGCTGGACGATAGAACTTGGATGAGCAAAGCGGATTCCAGACTGAATAAAAGTTTGAATTATTGCCCTGAATTTTGATATTCTATTATTAATATTTGAATGATTAAGTGAGGCAAAAGAAGAGCTTTTAGTATCCCATATAAAACCTAAAGTTTATCATCCAGTTTTATTTGTTGGTGGTCGATTGTTATCGTACAGTTTGCAATTTGTTTTTTTCCAGTGAACAAGAACTTGGTCTTACTAGCATTCAACTTAATACAATTTGCGTTAGTGTATATATTACAAGCTGTTATAAGCTTTTTTATTCCAGACAGGGTAGAACTAAGAAAAATGATGTCATCAGCGTATGCTACAACACCTGTGTAATTTCCATAAATTGATGTCCCTACGATACTTTTATTTTGTATGGTTTCAAGTAGGCTTTGAGTATATATATTATACAGGTGAGGAGACAGAATCGATCCTTGTCTCATCCCCTGTGTTAGATAAAATGGGTATGACTTGCATCCTAGATAAGTGACAGAAGCACTGCTTTTATGGTACAATGACGATATAGTATTAATAATATAAAGCGGTAATTTTTTATTATCGTATAGTTTCTCAAATAAAATGTCCCAGCTACAGCTATCAAATGCTTTTTCAGCATCTAGGGAACAGAGATAGACAGGTAAATTGTTGTTGTTTTACAGTTTCACTTATAGCAAATTCGGCATGTAAGGTTGAACTGTTTTTAGTAAAAACGAATTGAAGATGAGTTTCTTTTATCCCTGGACAGAATATTAAAATAAGATTTTCTACTAGTTTTATAAAGATTGGAATGATGCTAATACCACGGTAGTTATTTATATCAGTTAATGAATTTTTGTAAGATTTAGCAAGAGATATAATAAGTGATGTAGACATCGATTTTGGGGATCAAGCCTGATCGTGGTTAATAATAAAGTTAAAAAATTTCCTTAACCACTTTGTTAGGGCTTCGCAACGTGCATGTTTAAATGTTCTGCAGAGATTCCATACGCATCTTTGGTCTTGTTTAATTTAAGGCGAGAAACAGCTGTTTTAATATTTTCATCTGATATTATTAGTACATCAAATTTGGTACAAGGTGGAACTTGAAAATTCGGAGAGGTATGCGTCACTGCTTTGGTATTTACCGTTTTTCGAAACTATCGGCAAATTCTTTAATGATTGATTCCTTGTCCTTTTTATTATTTATAGTAAATAGTCTTGAGTTTGAATCAGACTTTGTGACTAAATGTTTCTATTCTTTATTGAGTTTTTCTCAGATTCACATTATTTTAACTTTGATCTGAAACAACGAAATTTTTTTTGAAATTTTTAGGATCATTCGTTGCATAAAAGTTTAAAATTTAATAAAGTTTTTTTTTAAACTATTTTAAAAGTTTTTTTAAGCTTCTTTTAAGGAAAATTATCTAAATTAAGGAAGTTAAAGTTATACGTTTGATTATTAACTTTATTAGTTCAAAACATGCTTTGCACCATTATTGATTAGTTTGCAAAGATTGACATCCATTTGCAATTAAAAGATATTGGAACAATATGCCTGCATAAATAGGGTATTTACCTAATCAATTTTAGGAATAAACATTTTTCTCATAACCCTAAAAGACATAATTATAAAGAAATTTTAAGAAATAGTTTCTTCAGGTATGTACTACCTTAAACTTATCGTAGAGATCAGAATACAGCTCCTGACTTTTATTGAAGTTATCAAAAATACGTACAAAAATGATTGCGTTGAAACTATTTTGATTCCATTCATACATGAACCGATAACAATTACTCCTTTTGGCCTTATTTGGCCACGGCTCAAAAAACGTCATCGCTAGATGGTCAGTGTAAGTATCAATCATCTTATAAGGAAAGACAATCCTAGCAACTGAGAAAAAGCCAATCGAAAATTTTGGGGGCTATTTGAAAGGATTAGTCTTCAAGTGAAAATGAGAAGTAAAAATAGTTCAAAAACTAATAGGGGCAATCAAGTATTGCGTGAAAACTCATTTTAAAGGTAGTACAAAAAAATAGAGCAGTTTGCGAGCTCGAAAAATACCCCCAAGGCTCAAAACATTAAAAACAACAACAAAAAAACAAGTCAAAAGGAAATTTAAAATAATTTTATCCTAGCACCAAAGAATTATTTTTTTCAAAAAATAAATTTTGAAATTCAAGTAATGTTGAAATTAAAATATAAAAAAAATAGAATTGATCTTTTTAAATGACAATTAAATAATATTTCTTGATGCTTGCTTCAAAATATAATTCAAACTTTGGCTCAGAAATTCTCGCTGATTGATATATATATATTTTTAAAAATATAACTATTTACATCCTTTATAGTCATGTGCCATATCTAAATACATATTAATATATTTAACCATTTTAAAATAGTACATGTATTTAAGCACCAAAAATTAATATGAATCTCGTTAAAATAATTATATATTACTCTCACTTTATCACATAGGCGTAATACTTCAATATTTTTTTTATATCAGTTACCAAAACATGACATTCCTATATGAAATATAAACAATCATAATAATATGAATCTTTTAGATATAATATTACAAAACACTACAAAAAATTTAATATTACTCAAGTATACACGTGATTTGCATTTGTAAACTTCTCAAGCGTTGCAGTGACTCATTTTAACAATCTATAAAAAAAAAAAAAAAAATCAAAACCAGGACGGCCAGCGAAATGCTAATTTAAAATTCCAGGATATTTCCAGGACATTTCACGGATACTTTGAGGTTTTAAAAGGATATGTTGATCTTTTCTCGACCAGAAAAAAAAAAATATATATCAAAAAATATTGTTTTCAAGATATTTTATATATAAACATAAATATGTTGTAATATAGTCGTATATAGTATGGTACAAGTTTAAAAATATTTTATATTGTATATATATATATAGATACACTAGGTTATCTAACACTTCTATTTAATCTCTTTTTTAGATTGTTCAAGTTTTTTTTAGTGAAGTATCTAATCTTTTTCTAAGCTAACTTTTTAAGAAATCTAATCTCAATCTAAGCTCTTTAATTGCCAATTTTTTTTTTTAAATTGTGTTTCTAAAGGAATTAGCTTTCGTAAGGATATTGAAGTTTAATTTTTCTTCTGCTTCAATGCTGAACTTGTCAGCATCAGCTTTAAGACCTTTCATGCATTATGCGAAGAAAAAAAAAAAAAAAAAGTTTCTTAAAAATTCTTCATTAATTAATTCAAGTTTCTTACATACTTCGTCTACCTTTGACTGATCGTTATTTTCCTTCAACACAGTATTGTACCTATTTTTTTTGCCAAACTTTAGCTCTTTAAAAGATCACTGGGAAGCTCATACTGATGAGTAACAATCTCATGGGAATTGATGTGGTTATAACTGTTCTTTGGAAAACAAAAGATCTTTCTTGTAGATTTTCTACCTACAACTTGTTCTACTGCCTATAATTATATATGTTCTATAATTATATATTGTACAATCCTTGTTCTATTGCCTATAATTATATATTGTTCTATGGCCACGAGATAAAATAAAAATGATAGCTCAGACTTTCCACAATACTTTTGAGTTAAATTTGAGTGCGAATAGACACCAAGAAATTTATCAACAGAATCAGTTAATTCATTAAAGGACTCAAATTTATTTATTATCATTTTAAAGACTCTAAATCAAACACATTCTGCACCAAAAAATTAATTAAATTGTTGTTTTGCATCATCTGCATTGTCAGTTGAAAGTCATTTTAATGCACTTTATCTCCCTTGTTTTAAACTGTTGCATTTGGAGACAAAGATGAAACATTCCTCTTTAAAGAATACTTCAATGGGCATCTTTTGTTGTAAATTTAGCAATAACATTATGATAATCTGCCATCATTCTTTTTTAAATTCTAATTTCTCTTCTGGTTAACAATGAAAAGAACTTAGAATATTAGTGCTGATCCAATGTCAATTTGGTCTAGTTCTAGATGGTTGTTAGATTTCTCTACTTCAATTTTTGGTAAACTAAATGCAAACTTTGATGCTATTGTGATGTAAAAGAATTTGAATATTTCATTTAAATTTAAGCATGATCTTAAAAAAAAAAAAAGTGACATTACTACATTCAAGCTCATATTATTTCTGTCTTGGTAACCAGATTTATAGTTCTTTTTTTATTTTCAAATTAGGAGAACTTTTATGTAAGTTACAGATAGAACACAGCCAATTAATTTGCTACAAGCATTCCAAAATTCAGGAAAACATCAAAACAAAAATAAAAAAAACTTAACTTAAAATAAAAAACTAATAAACTATCAGTAAAGAATATCTGCTGCATTATGTATCTTTGCATTAAATTTATGCTTTTTACGAGTTGGATGATCTTCCAAGGCAGATATTCTATGTTAGAAATATTAATACACGTTCTGCATTAACTATAGCTTGTTTTATATATATATATATATATATATATATATATATATATATATATATATATATATATATATATATATATATATATATATATATATATATATATATATATATATATATATAATTACTAGATCTTAATAATACTGACAGTAACAGCTAGCAAAATTTTTTTTGTAAGTCAGAAAATACATAATAATTACAGTATTAATTATCTATGCAATATTATTTTTGTAAAAGGTAAAAACACGATAATGAAATATTGAATTATTTCAAAAAAAAGTTCAAGGATTTCCAGGATTTATTGCTAAAAGGGGTGTTTTCCAAGGACTTTTCTAAGACCGCTGCTCCACCCTGAAAACGTAAATATAAATTATAATTTTGCTTATTTAAAGCACAATTATTACTGACATAATATTCATAAAATGCAAAATGATGAAATAAAATGTTAATCAAGAATTATGATGAAAATAAAATTAATTAAAAATTCGGCTTATATTTTTTAGAATAACTAGATTAAACTTTATATTTTTCAATTACATAAAAAATTACATCGAAGATGTATTGTTTCATTTATATACAAACTATGTAAAAGTAATAGTTTAATTATTTCAATTATTTGGTATTGGTGATAATGACATCAAATGAATCCATTGATGTGCCCACACAGAATTTTATTTAATTTTTAAAGTATAGGGTAATTTAATTGGGTAACTTATAGGATAATAGGGAAATTTATTTTTAAAATATAGGGTAGGTTAAATGCTTTAGGGTACTTTAGTTTCCATGCTTCCACCACTGCAATTTTTCTCATTTGACCTAGGCATATAAATCTCTAAGTTTAGAGTTTGCACAATCCATAAAAATGTCATATCAGAATCATCAAAAAAATTTTGTAAGTGTCCATTATGGATCATCAGAATGGTGAATTTATGAGACATTTTTACTGTTTGCTTTCTGAAAAAATTTACAATTCTGGATTCATTTTAGAATGCTTATTACGTCATAATTACTATCTAGCCATAGCTGGATGATCTGAAGTTATTGGCAGCCTGTTCATTGAATCTGTATCTTTGTCCTTTTGTGATGTTTTCTACATGAAATTTTCCATAAACTAAACTGTTGATTTAAAAAAAAAAAATTCAATTAATTTTATGACCGGAGTTAATGCATTCTAGATTAATTCCTAAAAGCTTTATTATTTTTAAAGTTTCTTAGCGTTTTTGAAAAATCTACAAGCACAGTTTCCATAACTGTTGCATATATTGATGTTTGAAAAAAAAAAAAAAAAAAAAAATCATTATACAAATCATTTTTTAATATAAATTAATTATTTTAACTTGGTAGTTTCACATAAATGATCTCTCCAGCTTTGTTGGTACCATTAATACTCCTCCCATGGTGATAGGAATTACAGAGTCTAATTTATATACAGAGGATTCTAATATAACTGAAATTACCTTACAAGGATATAACATTGAACATTGTCCAACAGAGTCAAAAAAAGGCGGTGCGCTTCTTTACCTAAATTCAAATCTTAATTACATAGATCTCTAAATTTATGCCTCCAAATTTCTGGAGTCTATTTTTGTTGGTTATATATCCACTTAAAAGTAATACCATTTTTGAATGTATTTATCAGCATCCCTCTTTAAACATCACTGAATTTTTATCTATTTTAATCCTCTCCTCGAAAAGTTAAGTCATGAAGCAAAAAATATTGTGCTAATGGGTGATTTCAACATAGATTTATTGAATTATAGAGTCATTTCTAATTATTTTGAATCTTTGTGCTCTCATTCCTTATTTTTAAACATAATTCTTCCAACACGTGTAAATGCAAAAACTAAAACCCTTATCAATAAGATCTTCATGAATTCATTTCCTACTGATATAGTCTCTAGTAATCTTACAATTTTAATCTCTGACCACATGGCACAATTTGTCTGTATTCCTAATAACCCACCCATTAAAAAAAAGTAAAAATGTTTAAAAGAAGCTTTAAAAAATTTGATTCTGATTCTTTTATCCAAGAAATTTCTGATAATAACTGTGAACTTCTCATAAAAGAAGCTGATAACATAATTGAATTTATAAATTTTTACCTCAAAACATTAAAAAAAAATATTAGACCGATATGCTCCATACAAAGAATTAACAAAAAAGCAAATTAAACTTCAATCTAAACCCTGGATAACTTCAGGTATTCTTAAATCTATTTCTAATAAAAACATACTTTATAAAAATTTACTAGATCAAAAAATGTTACTTACTAAATTTAAGTTATATAAAAATAAAATTAGCAATTTATTAAGATATTCTCAAAAAATTGTACAAAGCTTTTTTTTTTCAATAACAACTTCAATATTGTAAAGAATACCTTGAAAGGAATTAAGGAAGTTATAAACATCAAACCTTCTACTTGTACTAAACCTTTTAATCTCAAAAAAAAAAATACCCTTTAAATGTGTTTTTGGCAACTTTCTTAAAATACCTAGTACTAATTCTTTTTTCATTTATCCAGTGACTGAAAATGAGGTGGCGAATCTCATAAAAGGTACTTTTAAAAATAATAAAAGCCTTGGTCACAATAGTCTGCAAACATTTCTACTAAAACTGGTATCTCACATAATCTCCAAACCTCTATGTACTATGATGAATAATTCTTTCAAAAATGGTATTTTTCCAGAAGCCTTTAAGGTAGCCAAAGTAATTCCTATACACAAAATGGGTTCTTATCTAAGCTACTCCAATTATCGACCTATTTCACTTCTTTCTAACTTACAACTGTTTAAAAAAGCAACGATCTAAAGACTCAACCATTTTTTGGAAAAACATAAATTTATTTACAAACAACAGTATGGTTTTCGCAACAAACACTTAACAACTCATTCGTTAATAGAAATTACAGTGAAAACTAGACAAGCCATCGATAATAAACACTTTGTGTGGGAAGTGTTTATTGACATAAGAAAAGCATTTGATACAGTTGAGCACACAATCTTTCTAGATTAACTGTAACACTACCGTATAAGAGGTATTCCTTTTCTCTGGTTTTCCTCTTATCTTTGCAATAGAACACAGTTTTTTTCAATTAATGGTATTAACTCAGGACTAGCTAAGCCTTTTAATGGTGTTCCACAAGGCTTGGTTTTAGGTCCATTACTTTTTCTTATTTTTATCAATGATTTAAATGTTTCTCTTAAATTTTCTACTGCTTATCACTTTGCGGATGACACCA